TGTGTGTGTGTGTGTGTGTGTGTGTGTGTGTGTGTGTGTGTGTGTGTGTGTGTGTGTGTGTGTGTGTGTGTGTGTGTGTGTGTGTGCGCGTGCGCCGGGGGGAGGGGAGGGAGAATCCCTCCCCCACCAATCAATCAATCAATCAATCAATCAATCAAAAAAAGTAGCAATCAATGAATATTTATTTTTTCTCTATATTTTAATTTATTTTGTCACACCCCCAAAACCAACCCCCCCAAATTTTTAATTTCTTTTTTATCTTGACAGGGCCATAGAGGCCGACGTGTGACGGTCGTGAGCGCGCACCGTTTTCCCGTGCGCGCCCCCGCCTGAGCCTGGCGTGGTCGTAAAAAGACTCAGCCGCGGGCTCGCGGCCGGCCTCCTCGGCCGCGGCCGAGGCCGCAGGATCCGCGGCCGATGGTGTCACGTAGGTGGTCTGTGGCTGGAATAGACAGGTTGATGTCATAGCTGCTCTACATGATGGAAGAGCGGGCGGTCACAGGAGCAAGGATGTTGCATTTGGGAAGGTGTATGGACTCTATTATTGGGAATGTATGGGAGAGATGATCCGTATGTATTGTGAATCCTGTGTGCAATGCCAGGAAAGATCATTCGTCGGGTACAAGGAGTCACTCCACCCAAGATACGTGCGGGAAGTTGGGGATGTGATTCATATGGACTTATTTGTAATGCTACTGGAGTAGGAGGGTACAGCTATATCTTCAATGCGCAGGACAACCTTATAGGATTTGTGGATAACAAGGCCATACGCATGGAAACTGGGGAAGTATTGCCGCGTTGTATCGAAGAATATTACCTTCGATACCCGTTTGTGGTGGAATTTGTGATGGATAGAGGTTCAAAGTTTACTTGTGCCGAGGTAAAAGCGTTTCTGAAGGAATATGGGGTAACTGCGAGATATACAACCGCAACACATCCCTAAGCACACGCGCCTGTGGAAAGAGGGCACAATACACTTACAAACCTCCTCGCCAAATGGACAGGTGGCAGGGTCAATCAGTGGCCCAAGTATCTAAGGGTAACTTTCTTTGTGGAGAATATAACTGTCAAGAGGACCATAAGGTATGCACCGACAATATTATTGTATGAGAGGCATGCAACATTTCCAATTGAGAACTCCTTGAAGACTTGGAGACGGCAGGACCTAGAAACTACTTCATCATTTGAGGACCTGCTAGACCTAAGGGCGCACTAGATCGGAGCCACGAAAGATAGCACTAGGGATGCGGTTAATAGTTCAACAGATAGCCACACTGCAGATAAGTTCAGGTAGGACATGATGGCACGCGTATGATGGGAACCGCTAAAGGTTGGAGATGTTGTACTACTAAACGATTCCTCACTCGAAAAGCAGTGGTCAAGAAAGCTTGACAAACGGTGGTTCAAGTCGTACAAGATTGCTTGCTGCGACGAATATGGAGCTTATCGGATTGAGGAGTTGAATGGGACGACATGAAAAGATTGGGTGTTAGGAACTAAGTTGAATAAGTTCG